CTACCAACCTGAATATTCGCAAAATCTTATTAAAAAGAAAAAAAAATGCACTTTCCAGCAGAATTCAAACCTACATTAAATCCAATGCACTTTAGACTGCCTCGGCGATGAAATGTGTCAATAATCATACTTATTATAAAACCCAGGTTGTGTGTGTGTGTGTCTGTTCGTTTATAAATTGGATCGGATTTCCTACACTTTTCAACCGATTTCAACAAAACTTCACAGGACTACGTAAAATTACCTTACAGTGGTTCTGACAGTGCCCAAAATTAGAAAAACACAATTGTTTTTGCATGAAATCAATTTGAAAACACGATTAAGAGGCATTGCGAGAATGAAAGGTGGACAACTCATATTGAGTTATACTTATTATAAAACCCAGGTTGTGTGTGTGCGTGTTCATTGATATATGGGATCGGATTTCCTACACTTTTCAACCGATTTCAACAAAACTTCACTTTTTTTTTTTTTGGCAGGTAGTGTTTCTTATTATCTTGTACACTTTTTCTTTATTTTTACATTCAGAATGCTTTAAAAGTTCCATGCGTGTCCGTCAACCTTAAACAATAATCTTTGTCAATTTTATTTTTCAGTTTTTATGATGGTCGATACTTGATCTATCTCTTACTGTTACATCCCCGGGCAACGCTGGGCTCTACTGCTAGTGCCTTATAAACACAAATCTTTCTTTGACTCTAAGAGTTCATTTTTTTTTTTTTAATAAGATTTTTCAAATATTTAGGCTGGTGGACAAAAATAAATAAATATACTGTTTAATAAATGAATGCAGAGTCAACTCAAATATAGGACTCCACTAAAAATAATCTAAGTAATTCTTTCCCATTAATAAATAAAAATCCGACACTTCTTTAAAAATTGCTTTGTTTACATTAGGATATGAAACTGAGCAGATATGAATGCTTTGAGAGTCTGAGGAAGATTTGTGTTTATAAGGAACTATTCGACTTTGCTTGATCATTGACGCACTTCATGGCCAAATCAAAAGTACATTGGATCTGACAATGGTTGAGTCTGCACGCAGGGGGAACACAGGTTTGAATCCTGCTTGTATGCAAGAGGTCTTGTGCATATTGTCAGGGAAGTTCAAATTGTCTCCTGAAACACTGGTTACTTTTCCAGAGTAAAAAAAAAAAAAAAAAAAAAAAATTTTTTTTTGGTTTAGAGAATTTTATAAAAAGGTCAGAATGTCTAGAAGTGACTTAAGAAATCTGTTTAAGACCACCTTGTTGTTCTATATATATATATATATATATATATATATATATATATATATATATATATATATATATATATATATATCACACATCCGCTGACAGATTTTTATCACTTTAAGCATTATTTTTAGTGAAAAAAAGCATATTTTTCTTTACTAAGATTTCTCAAATACTCAGACTGCTACACAAAAACATTGTTCAATAAATGGAACATCTACTTGAATATGAGTATCCACTAAAAATAATGTTTAAAGTGATTATACAGGGTGTATCAAAAATACTTTCTACAAACAACTGGGGCAGGTTCCTGACACCCAAACAAGGTAAACTGTCCATATAAACATATGGAGCAAAGGCCATCGTTGTACCTCAACACAGCAACTCATAACAAATGTTCAAAATGTCCGCCGCTTGATTCTACACATGCATGCACCCACCGGCAGACACTTTCAAACACCCCCACCATGGTGACGAAAGTGGTTGTCCCTATATATGGGGTGTATCCAAAATACTTTGACAAACTCTGGTAGTTGGTTCCTGAGCTGACACCAAAACAAGGTAAAATGTCCATATAAACACATGCCTAAAAGGCCATTGTTGTACCTCAACACAGCAACTCATAAAAAATATTCAAAATCTCTTCCGCTTGCTTCTACTCATGCATACAGCCATTGAATCATTGACTGGCAAACCCTTTCAATTACTCCCACATGGTGTTGTTTTGTAGGCCCATATGATATATTGATGAAGCATCTCTGCATTATTATTATTATTTGCTGTATAAACTCAAAAGGATCGAGGGAATGTTCCTGTCATGGAACCAGTCCTCCTCTACATATTCCATCTTTCATGGTTTGGTTTGTTGTTTTACAGCATATTAACCTCAATGGGTTATTTAATACCGGCTTTTTTTTTCCTGATAATATTTTGTTTTGTCAAAAATCTATTTCTGGTAATATTTAGATCTTAGAGAGGTTGCAAACAAAGGGCAGGCTTATACTTAACATCAGGAAGAGGCAGCTGAAGTTTCTGGGACATTATGAGGAAGGAGGGCCTGGAGAATCTGATACTCACGGGTCGAATAGAGGAAAAGAGAGACAAGGGAAAACAACGCGTGACATACCTGGCAGATGGATGACAAAGAGGAAATAGAGGTAAGGAACTTGTTGTGAGTTGCAAGGGATAGGAGGAGGTGGAGAGCTATGATCGCCTTCGTCCTGAAAGGACAAAGCACATAAAAGAAGATACAATTCTGAGCCGTTATCCATTACACTACACACACACATCCAAGCTTACGGGAGCTGATATTCCGAAGTGGTCACCCATCTAGGTACTCCGCAAGCTCGATGATCGTACGGGAACCAATGTTTCCACGTGATATGGTCGTAAAACCTGAAGAAATGTGCCAAATGGTTTGTAGAAGTCTTGATAAGTTTCAGCGTTGTATTGAATATGTTAAATATTGTGTTGATCGTAACAATATCACGTAGTTTGGTTGTTGGTTTTACGGAATATCAACCTCAGTGGGTCATTTAATGCCAACAATTTTTTTTAAATAGATTATTAGCGATAGTTTGGCATATATATATATATATATATATATATGAACCATTTTTCAATTACTCATATTTGAGTACAATCACATGTATTGCTGGTAATTTTTTTTTCTTCTAGAAAATGTATTGTTGATAATATCTAAGTATTTCTGGTATTAATACCTATTTTTATACTTTTTATAATGCTTTTACCTCAGTTTTTACAAGGGTTAACTATTTGCTCATAGCTGGGACCCCAACAGGTGCCACCACCCCGGGTCAAGGTGGACCTGGGAACACCAGCAATTAAGAGGTGGTTCCACGCTCGTCAAAACCTCCTGATCAGAGGCCTTGCTGTTGGACGTAGTTTATCATCATACCCAGGACACGGATGTAGTTTATCGTCATACCCAGAATGCTCATCTTTCATGGTAGATATCATTCAGTGCATTATGAACCATCTGACTAAAATGTGTTGGAGCCCCATCATGGATGAGCCTAATGGGTCTTTGTATTAGCAGGAGTACATCCTCTAGCAGGTCTGGAAGTGTGTTCAAAATCAAGTCCCTGTAGACCGATCTTGTAAGACATGCTGGGAGAACATATGGACCTAACAGACAGTCACCTACAACCCACACACTGACCATAAACAGATGCTGGTTTCTAGCTTGTATCATACCATGGGGATTCTGATCCAACCTCAGATGTTGATTGCGTTAGTTTGTTATTCCATCTCTTCCAAATGTTGCCTCATCCGTAAACAAGGCTGAAGAGACAAGCAATGGATCGGTAGATTGTGCAATAAACCATCAGCAAAAGTTCTCCTGTGGTGAGTGATCAGAGGATGAAAGACCCTGAACACATTGCAAATAATATGGATACAAGACCTGCTCTTGAAGTACCCTCAGTGCTTTACTACAAGATGTATGACATGCTAGGGCCATTTGATGTGTGCTATTACCTGGACAGCCTGTAAAATGTGTTCTTCATGGTTATTTGTACAAGCAGATCTTGGTCTTTCTTGAGCCATACTTTGTGGTGCCATGCCTCAGCAAACTGGAAATAAATGGCAGCAAAGTTTGGATGACTTGAATGCCTTTGGTCTGGAAATGCAATCTGACACAGCCATACGGCCTTATGTCCATAAACATTTGTATAGCCATATGTTAATATATTTATTTGCTTCTGACATGAATATCCTGCCATTTTTAAAGTGAACACTTCTCAGTAAACTCACTACCCATCAACTTTCCTTAAACATAATTCAAAAAGGAAGAATTTATAGACATGTTTTTATGGACTTTTATCCTTGTTTTGGTGGGTGGAACACCACCACCCCAAGTTTATAAAAGTATTCTTGATAAACCATACACAAATTTTATTTTTATATATCTCCAAGCATAGGATTGGTGTATACGGAATAAATTCCAATAACCCAACTTAAAACAGTGCTCAATACAGAGTAGAGCAAATAAATATAATAATATTTTTTGTTTAAAAATATGATTCCTTCGCTACATAAGAGTTCTCATGTTTCAAAAACGAGAGCCGAAACCATCCAAATAATTATTAAAAAGTTGAATTGAGGTGTTTAGTCCCGTTTCATCTTCAAGCGAAATTTTAGGAATAAGCTATCTCTCGGTTTACGTGTGTTTTTAGGCACGGTCCGTTACAAAATTCGTTATTGTGGGAGTGGCTAGACTATTTTTCTTCGTTAAGTGGTCAGAGAGTTAATTCTTATCAATAGATTCATCATCTTCAGAGAGGTTTTGCTAAGGTTGGGTAGGGTATCTATTTCAAGGCTAATGTTTTTGGTCACACCTTAGTTGGTTCCCAGTGAGGGATATTTTTATGGCACGCCTACAAGTCGTTATGTGTCTGTTACATATATATGAGAGAGAGAGTGCAATGGATTTTTATTTATTAATCTGATAAATTTTATTACTTAAACATTATTTTTAGTGGATACTCATATTTGAGTAGGCACTGATAATTTATTAAACAGTATAGTTTAATATTTTCATCTAACAGCTTGAATATTCAAGAAATCTTATTAAAGAAAAATATGCTCTCTCGACTAAAAATAAAGTTTAAAGTGGTAAAAATCTGTCAGATAAATGCATTATCATTATATTATATATATTTTAAATAAAAACAGACCACTTTAAGGTTCCATGTAATAATTTATTTCATAATTTATTACATGGAACATTAAAGTGGTCTGTTTTTATTTAAATTTTCCCGAGAAAAACGGGGGAAAAAAAGAGCAAAAAAGAAAAAAAGGAGAAGAAAGAGAAAAAACGAGGAAAAAAAAAGGAGAAAAAAACGAGCAAAAAAAAAGGAGAAAAAAACGAGGGAAAAAAAAGAGAAAAACGAGAGAAAGAGAAGAGAAAAACGAGAGAAAGAGAAGAGAAAATGAGAGAAAGAGAGAAAAACGAGAGAAAGAGAAAAAATGAGAAAAAGAAGAAAAAATGAGAAAGAGAGAAAAATGAGAAAGAGAAGAGAAAAACGAGAAAGAGAAGAGAGAAAAGAGAGAAAAGAGGAGAAAAAATGAGAGAGAAAGAGAGAAAAACGAAGAGAGAGAAACAGAGAAAGAGAGAGAAAAACGAGAGAAAGAGAGAGAAAAACGAGAGAAAGAGAAAGAAAAACGAGAGAAAGAGAGAAAAAAACGAGGGAAATAGAAAAAAAAGGAGAAATAGAAAAAAAACGAGAGAAAGAGAAGAGAAAAACGAGAGAAAGAGAAGAGAAAAACGAGAGAAAGAGAAAAAAAAAAGAGAGAAAAAACGAGAGAAAGAGAAGAAAAAAAGAGAAAGAGAAGAGAAAAACGAGAGAAAGAGAAAAAATGAGAAAGAGAGAGAAAAAATGAGAGAGAAAAAAAGAGAAAAGAAGAGAAAAAATGAGAGAAAGAGAAGAGAAAAAAGAGAGAGAAAAAAGAGAAAAAAATGAGGGAAAGAGAAGAAAAATGAGAGAAAGAAAAAAAATGAGAGAAAGAGAAGAGAAAAAAATGAGAGAAAGAGAAGAGAAAAATGAGAGAAAAGAAAAAGAAAAAAACGAGAGAAAAAAGAGAAGAGAAAAAGAAGAAAAACGAGAAAGAGAAACAGAAAAAGAGAGAAAAACGAGAGAAGAGAAAGAGAAGAGAAAATGAGAGAAAGAGAAGAGAAAAATGAGAGAAAGAGAAGAGAAAATGAGAGAAAGAGAAGAGAAAAAGAGAGAAAGAGAAGAGAAAACGAGAGAAAGAGAAGAGAAAACGAGAGAAAGAGAAGAGAAAACGAGAGAAAGAGAAGAGAAAACGAGAGAAAGAGAAGAGAAAACGAGAGAAAGAGAAGAGAAAACGAGAGAAAGAGAAGAGAAAACGAGAGAAAGAGAAGAGAAAAATGAGAAAAGAGAAGAGAAAATGAGAGAAAGAGAAGAGAAAATGAGAGAAAGAGAAAAGAAAAAGAGAAGAGAAAAGAAAGAGAAGAAAGAGAGAAAAAAAAGAGAGAAAAGAGAAAAACGAGAGAAAGGGAGAAAAAACGAGAGAAAGAGAAAAAACGAGAGAAAGAGAAAAAAACGAGAGAAAGAGAGAAAAAAACGAGAGAAAGAGAGAAAAAACGAGAGAAAGAGAGAAAAAAACGAGAGAAAGAGAGAAAAAACGAGAGAAAGAGAGAAAAAAACGAGAGAAAGAGAGAAAAACGAGAGAAAGAGAAGAGAAAAACGAGAGAAAGAGAAGAGAAAAACGAGAGAAAGAAACGAGAGAAAAAAACGAGAGAAAGAGAGAAAAAAACGAGAGAAAGAGAAGAGAAAAACGAGAAAGAGAAGAGAAAAACGAGAAAGAGAAGAGAAAAAACAAGAAAGAGAAGAGAAAAAACGAGAAAGAGAAGAGAAAAAACGAGAAAGAGAAGAGAAAAAACGAGAAAGAGAAGAGAAAAAAAGGGAAAAAAGTGGATAATTTAATATTACTCCTGTCCCAATACTAAGTCTGATCAGTTTGATAAGGCCAAAATAGCAGCTGATGGATTCCTGTTTAGGAGCTGGTACTGCCAGCAAATTTTAGCCTTGAGCCAGACTAGCAAAAAATTTGCAAACTAGTTTGCTTTGTTTTGTGGCTTATCAATCTCGATGGGTTATTTAATAATGACAAGATTTTTATTGCTGGTAATTTGTTTTTTTTTTCCAAAAATGTATTGCTGGTCATAATTTTTATAAAAATGTATTGCTAGTATTAAAACCTATTTTTATGCTTTCATAGTGTTTTGACCCCAGTTTGGGGGAGGGTAACTATTTGCCCACAGCTCGAATACTAAGAGGTACTACCACCCCAGGTCAGAGTGGACCTGGGAACACCAGCAATTAAGCGGTGGTTCCACACTCCTCGAAACCTCCTGCTGCTGGATATAGTTTATTGTCATACCCAGGATGGTTGGTAAATATGGCAATTCTAATGACATTTTTTTTTCTCGGATTTCATCCTGAGAAATGTAAGAGAACACAATTTGTTGATGTCTCAATTTCCCAGAAATGTTTCATGACAAATAATTGGCAAACTATTTCGTCATCATCTCCATTGGAAAGCGTAAGTAAGTAAAAAAAAAAACTCATCCATTAGTTTGGGTAACCAAAACCTCATGGCATTAACCATTATTTACAACACAACAACATTCTGACCTTTTTCCGTTGTGCTCGTCTTTCATTGTAGCTTCAAATGTCTATTTTTAAATATGTCCTACGATCACAGATCATCATCATAATAAGAAGAACAGGAAAGGAACATGTTATGGTAGATCAATACCTCAGTAATCTAACACAAACACACATATATATATATATATATATATATATATATATATATATATATATATATATATATATGTGTGTGTGTGTGTGTGTAAATTAGCTGAAATTTAGTGTAAACTTTTTTGTTGCATAATGTTTGAGCTTTGTGATTAGTATTCACCACTGGATTAAGTGCATTGACAAAAAAATAAATAAAGGAAAAAACAGATTAATTTGAAAAATACATTTTTTTTTTTGGAGCAATGAGAAAATTTTAAGAAAAATACAAACTTAAGTGATATTGGAAATTTCTTGAATACATATTGAGGAAAGAAGCTCTAGAGAATTTAATATTCACATTATATACTGGTGGCAAGAGGAAAAAGGAGAAACAGAAAGTTTGCATGAATTAATGGCAAGATAAAAAGAAGTATGGAAAAGGGTTAGAAGTTACTAAGAGTGACAAAAGGTGTGGGGAATCATAATCGCCCACATCCTGAAAGAACAAAATATAACAAAAAAGAAAGAAAGGCTTGACTTCAATAAGTTCTTAGACAGTGAAGCAGGGGAGGTCAACCAATTTAGTGGTTTGGGAGAAGAGATGTCAGAACAGAGACAAAGGGGAAATTATTTAGAGCAACAAAGAATTCTTTAGGAAAATAGCAACTTACAAGGAAACTTATACTTACAATCAAAATAAAAGAACTGAAATTTCTGAAATGCATGTGGAAAGAGGGTTTGGAAATTTTAACACCCACAAGATATTTTCTTTGATAAGTTATATACTTTGAGACTATTGTTATTATGCCAATGTTTCAGACATTACTCCCCCTACTCCAGTCATCTTTAGGTGCTTGTTGTTCTGAGGGAATTTTGAAGTGAACCCTTTATTTAATCTACAAGGGTGGATTGTTCATGTCTCACTGTCCAGACATTAAAAAAGAAAGAAAAGATATGTCCTTTGATTCTTGTTTTTTTTACTGCTTGTTCAGTTTCCAGTAAATCTAAGTCTGCATAACCTGGCCCAGGGATTGAACTCACAATTACTATATCACCAAATTCATGGTCCAAAGATTTAATCCACTTGGCTACTGTTGTAGGAATCATCATTTTTGTTGCGAGGTGCAGACGTTTTTCAGTAAATGTTTAATAGCATCTCGTACATTTGTGTATCTTTGGGGGTACTTACATGCCAACAGAACATGAGAACATCTTGTCATTATCAAGGACAAAGAGGAACAGGCTTTCAAATAGGGACAAAGAGGAACAGGCTTTCAAATAGGGACAAAGAGGAACAGGCTTTCAAATAGGGACAAAGAGGAACAGGCTTTCAAATAGGGACAAAGAGGAACAGGCTTTCAAATAGGGACAAAGAGGAACAGGCTTTCAAATAGGGACAAAGAGGAACAGGCTTTCAAATAGGGACAAAGAGGAACAGGCTTTCAAATAGGGACAAAGAGGAACAGGCTTTCAAATAGGGACAAAGAGGAACAGGCCAAATAGGGACAAAGAGGAACAGGCTTTCAAATAGGGACAAAGAGGAACAGGCTTTCAAATAGGGACAAAGAGGAACAGGCTTTCAAATAGGGACAAAGAGGAACAGGCTTTCAAATAGGGACAAAGAGGAACAGGCTTTCAAATAGGGACAAAGAGGAACAGGCTTTCAAATAGGGACAAAGAGGAACAGGCTTTCAAAATAGGGACAAAGAGGAACAGGCTTTCAAATAGGGACAAAGAGGAACAGGCTTTCAAATAGGGACAAAGAGGAACAGGCTTTCAAATAGGGACAAAGAGGAACAGGCTTTCAAATAGGGACAAAGAGGAACAGGCTTTCAAATAGGGACAAAAAAGAACAGGCTTTCAAATCTCAAACTGTGATTATCATCAATGGAGCAATAATCCAACACTAATTAAGACATACTGAACACAAGAGAAGCAGTGTGAATCAGCAAGTCTACTCCTTAATAAGCTTGTGTGAATGGATGAGAGAACAAAGTCTAAGAGGAATTGTATAGTGTCAGAAGAAAGTTGTGGAGAGCTATGATCACCCACAGCCTCAAGTGTGATGACATAAAAAGTTGGGTCAATTGCATTTCTAACATTAGGCTATGAATTTATTGACATACCTTCATATGCATGCAATTATAAACATTATATATAAATATTTAATAAGTAAAGGAGAATTGAATGTCTAAATGTCATAACAACATTAGGTAAAAGAATAAAGTGGAAATATTTGAGAAAAATGGGAAAAAGTTTTTGTGACACGTTTTGCCCTTTAGGACTTCAGACGAAAGTGATGTTTACGTTTATGTTACTACACATGCACATGAAGAGGAGGAGACACTGAGAATTTTAAATTTATTCATTTATTTGGGTATATAATTTAGCTGGTTGGGCACTTTGATGAAGTGCATTGGTTAACAAGCTTAAATTAAATTAAGACTGAGTAGTTCCATCCTCATTGGGTGCTCTGTATTTCCAGTTTTGCGTCACATCTAAGCAACACTTAGTAAATTGCTATAGTCTAGAAGATTTTTCTTTATGTTGATATCATTTTTGTTATTAAATAGGTCTACCAGGAAAGGTGAAAGGTTATAAAAACCTGAAATCAACATTACTATAAATGATATAGCAATTAAAGCACTTTCTATAACTTTTGTTTTATTAAATTGATTTCTCTTAATTGGAGCAGCATTAGAAAAAAAATCCAAATTATCAACAAACTGAGCAACTAATGTATTGAGCATGGTTTGTAAACCTTCTTTAAAAATCTTGTTCCATTAGAGTTAGAGATTATATATATATATATATATATATATATATATATAGAGAGAGAGAGAGAGAGATAGAGAGAGAGAGAGAGATAGAGAGAGAGAGAGAGATAGAGAGAGAGAGAGAGATAGAGAGATAGAGAGAGAGAGATAGAGAGAGAGAGAGAGAGATAGAGAGAGAGAGATAGAGAGAGAGAGATAGAGATAGACAGAGAGAGAGAGATAGACAGAGAGAGAGAGATAGACAGAGAGAGAGAGATAGACAGAGAGAGAGAGATAGAGATCATACATACAAAGGTTCGAAAAGTTCATAGGCTGATTATGACTGATACTACAGACATGAAATTTTGCATGCATTTATTACATTTTTTTATGAATAACTGCATTGTTTTTTTCCAGGTAAACTGATATCTGACTGTTAAAAAAGAAAAGACTACAAAAGTAACTCATAGCTACTTCCCTTGAAAAGGATAAAATTTAGCCTTGTTGTGTTATCAATTGCACAAAAGGGGTTTAGCACCCCATGGACATTCATGCCGACATAGTTACTACATTAGGGGATGACGCTCCAGCTTTATCAACAGTGCAAAAGTGGATAACCAAATTTAGGAGAGGAAGAGAGTGTCTTGAAGTTGACCTATAGTCTGTATGTTCTGCAACTGACTCTTCACCCCATGGTAATGGATGAAAGGTAATTAACTATAAATCAAATAGTCAATGCTATTAGCATAACCCATCAGAGAGTTGAGAATATTCTGCACAATTAACTTGGCATAACAAATGTTATACTCAGTGGGAGCCATGTCTTCTGACACCTGATCAAAAGTGCACATCACATGAAAATTTGACATTGTTTGAGGCAGATCCACCTCGTTTCATTGAAGGTTTCTTACCCCACGAAAAGTGTTAAGCTTTTAGCCAGAAACAATCCATGCAGTGGAAATACCCCTCCTCACCTGCTCTAAAGAAGGTGAAAGCAATTTCTTCTGCAGGAAAGGTGATGCCCTCAGTTTTTTAAGATGCAAAAGGCATTGATTATCTTCAAAAGGGCCACACCATCAATGGAGAGTCCTATGCCAACTTGCTGAGGCAGTTACAAAGGGTTATCAAGACCAAACGCCTAGGAAAACTTATGAAAGGGGTCAAATTCTTGGTTTCAATAGCTGCTGTGCATTGACTGTGGCTTTGAACTGATTGATCACCTTCCCCATTCTCCTGATTTTGCCCTATCTGACTATCATCTGTTCCCCAACATGACCCCACCACCACCAACAAAAAAAAAAAAAAAAAAACAACAGACATCGCTTTAATCTCAACCTCTCCAAGTTGTAACAACATGCACTAACCTATTTTGAATGGGTCTTGAACCTTGTACCGAGTGAACAATAGTATTTAATCAATGCTGAGGAAAACAAATGATAGGCAAGTCCCCTGCCCGATTATTTTGTCCCACGTTTATTATTTACAGAAAACTTCCCGACAGAACATTTATTTGAACCGGAACACTTATTTTTCTTTTTATGTGCCATATGCTTTGAGGAAGTAGGCGATCATGGCTCTCCACCTCCCTCTATCCCTTGCAGCTCTCAACAAGTTCCTTTCCTCTGCTTCCTCCCCCAGCCCACGTCCTGTCATCCACTTCCTGAAGCCCGTCAGATCTGTCACGCGTTGTTTTCCCTTGGCTCACTTTCCCTCTATTCGACCTCTAAGTATTAGATTCTCCAGGCCCTCCTTCCTCATTATGTGTCCCAGAAACTTCAGCTGTCTCTTCCTGATATTAAGTATAAGCCTCCTCCTTGTTTGCATCCTCTCTAAGACCTCATTATTGTTCAAAGCTCGGTCCATAATATCCTTAGCATCCTTCTGTAGGATCCCGTTTTCGTCGCTTCTAATCTCTTCTTCATCTTTGAGGAAATCGTCCAACATTCGCTGCCGTAAAGGAGGACAGATGTCACGTAACAGTTCAGTATTCTTTTCTTCGCTGCCTCTTCCTGATATTAAATAAGCCTCCTCCTTGTTTGAAAACTCTCTAAGACCTCATCGTTGCTCACAAGCTCGGTCCATGATATCCTTAGCACTTACAAGTTAAAAATCCCTATCGTTAGGATTATCCCAGACGGAACTTGCATTTGCTACAAAAGAATACAGATGTGAACATTGTTTTTTTTTACAGTTTATGAACCTGTTTCAAGTTATTTAAAACCAGAAGGTATTTTTAAATTGCAATAATTGTTACGAGACAGTGATTTACTGATACAAGTCCTAATTAACCCGGAGAGGAGGTGGATTCATGCCTTTCCCAAGGGCATTTGCATATAAGTGAATATAACAAACCCGACTGGGATTGGAACTTGGCTCCTCGATTTCCAATTCCGAGCCTTTATCCATTACACCACCCGCACATCAAATCTTACAGCACCTAGTAAGCCTAAGCGGCTACCCATCTAGATACTGACGACACTCGACGTTGCTTAACTTCAGTGATCGTACCAGATGTGAATAGACTGGAAGGTAGGAAATTAGAGATATGAACAGAAATTACTGGCATATTGAAATGAATAATCTGGTAAAATATTTTGGTTTAGTCTGACACAAGGCCACTGTTGGAGAGCAATTGAAATGCATGAAAATCCCAGAGAAATTACTTATTATCATCCGAAATCCTGATGAACAGAAATGTATACAAAATGAGACATCAACTCCCGAGTTTTTCAGATTACTCAGTAACTTTGATAAATATTTAGTCCCAGTCTGACATAAGGTCATTATTGTGGAGCACCCAATGTTAACCAAATGTATGAAAATCCCGAGTACAATCAGTGAAGAAAAAAAAGAAAATTTATCAGATAGCTTTTTTTGTGTGTAAATGTCTTTCTGCTTTACTAGAAGCATCTGCCTTGCAATGGCGACGTCAGATGGCAGTGCCTTTGTAATAATAATGGAAAAAAGTTCTAAGATGTTCTTAGGGCTTGGAGGTGAAAACAAAATAAAAATAATCACGGGTAATTTCTTTCTTCTTTCTGACGTTCATGGGTAAACAAGTCGAGAGATGGTTAGGGGGTGGAAGAGCGATAGAGATTGATCAATGTCTACTCTTAGGTAGATACAGAGATAGAGAAAGAACTAAGAACAAAGGCAGAGATGAATTTAACAAAAGAGCAATTGAATGAGTTCTTAACTTAACAGACTGAAAATTTGAATTCACAAACGAGTGCACAAACCGGTAGAAACGTTATAAACACTACTAAATGAATGAGAGGTAAACAGATAGACAACGATAGAAATAGCATAGACAGATAGATAGATAAAGATGAATAACCTCTTTGATGAGCAGCTCGAAATAGACTTGTATATATACAAACTGATATAGATAGAAAAAGTGATTATATATATAAGCACACAAAAAGAATCTCAACTTACGGTCTCATGTTGCACAGGCACCGACCCGTCGTCACCGTAGTCCGTAACAAAAAACGAAAACACGGGTGGAGAAGTCACCGTCACCGATTTTCCTTCGGCCATCGGAGATATCAAATTGGCTAAATGATGGATGGAAGCGTTCCTGGGTTTAGTTTCCATCTCACTTCGAGGAGTCTGTGTAAAAATCCTTCCACACGGAGAGAGACAGAGAGAGAGAGAGAGAAAAAATCAAAACAGTTTCAACGTTCCTTTGTAAAGCGATTCTCTCTCGTACCGCGTCGTCTGTCGCTTAGCAGTGTTTGTGTTCAAAACGTAGGTCAGGTCAAAGAAGATGTGGATGTGTCCCTCGGCCCGTCGTCGATCAGGTTCTGGTCGACTCGTAACGCGAGGAGCGGGTAGCGGCTTGGGTTATTTATTTAAGTAGATCTTAAATTTGACACTGCCCAGACAACATCGAGGGAAGAAAAATTAGAAAACAAAAAACAAAAAAAAAAAAACAAGAAAGGCGTTGGATATCTGAGAAGATTTGTTGTCACTTCCTCTCCCGTGAAAGCAAGTATTGGTGTGACATCTTAGAAATTAACTAAATAATAGTGAGGAGATTTGTGTATTGTTGAGGAGATTTGTGTAATGTTGAAAAGACTTACTGTCACTTGATCTCCAAAGAGACTTGCGAGTGACCAGTTTGGCCTGGGGGTGGGGAAAAATCGTGTACGTATAAAAGATAGGCTTGAGAAATAAAAACAAAATTGTATTTCCCTCTTTGGCATATTTAAGAGAGGCGAAGAATAGAAAAAAAGTAAACGATAGAGACATCAATTAGAAGTGGGGGGGATGGAAGAAGAAAGAAAAAATTTAAAAAGAAAGAAAAAGCAAGAATAATAAAGGTGGGTGTGAAAAGAAATGGAGAAAGCAAGAATGGAGAGAGGAATAGAGAATTTGAAAATGCATACAAGGATGGGTAGCAAAAAGACGGACTCTTTAAAAGAGCGGAAGTACAATAATATTTGGAAAGTATATATTTGCAAATACGTAAGAACAGAAAAGTACAGAATTTCACTCGTTTTTTCTTCTAATTTTTTTTGGGGGGTATCAAAAAGGAACAGATATGCTGAAGATTTAAAAAAAATATATGGTGTGAGCGACCAGGGTATTTTCACAACGTAAGGTTTTTGACGCATGCAATCTTTGTAATCGCAGTGTTCAATATAAAATGCAACATTAATGTTAATAAAAAATAAATTTTTATTTATACTTAGTGTTTTTCAAAGACACAGACTCGTCAAGGAATTGGATAGTGAAAGTAAAACTTTACACTGAAGCTCCATGATATGTCTTGACGTAATTTCCGTAAAACTCAAAATAAGAATAAGACAATTAACTTTTTTTTTCTTCTTTTTAATGCGACATATCTTTATTACTTCAAACGTACTTTCTGAGTGGGAAGCTCTTCGTAGCCAAACAGTAAAAGCACACTTGATTAGACCGTAGTAGCTAATGAAAAGGCGAGGGTGGCAGGTTTGAATCCTGCCAGATGGTTAAAATTCCTTTATTAGGTTTTCTCGAGCACGCACTCAGGTACGAAATAAATACTGTTTAAAATGAACCGAGCGCCTACTCAACTACAGGTGACCACTAAAAAAATAATGTTTGAAATAAATACAACCCTGACGAGTGGACGGAATAATTGCTGAAGGATTCGTCTGCGATGTGTTGGAGCAGGAAAACTGAAGTTAGTGACAAACTTTATATATTTTAAATGAAAATGATTAAATCCGATAAATATTTTAATATATTTTCTGTTTATACGTTATTCGGGCCAGTAAATGTAATTAATTAGCTACCATATTTCCATAATATTCACCCG